TTGACGGAAGTGCCCATGTGGCGCATTAGGTTGCCATGATTTGACTTTTTAAAATTAAAAAGAAATACATGGAAAAAGAAATGATGATTTGGCAAATTTCATACATTAAAAATTAAAATCAAGCTATGGGTCCCTCTTATTTCCATCCTTGGTGGCAATTTTATTAATGATTTTAATAAATTTAATAAAGTAAAATATACATTTACAATATTAACCCTCCCCTTATCTTTAATCCCCAATTCTTCTATTCATTTCTTCATTCTCCAACACCAACACCAACACCAACACCAGCACTAACCTTATCCTTCTTTCTCCTTTCACTTTCCACCCACCTCTAAACCTTGTCTTCCCTCTTCCTTTGTCCTTCTTCCTTATTTCCCTTTTCTTCCCTTTTTTTTTTTTTTCCTTTCTTTTCCAACTTGGATTTGGGTTAGATCCCTCATAACTCACCTAAGCCCCTCTATCTTCAATCTTTCTTCTCCACTCTCCTTTTTGTTCTCTTTACGTTACTCCTCTTCCACCCTTACTGCCACCTATTCATAAGCACCCTCAAGCCCACGACGATGGCCTTATCGAACCCAATGCTTAAAAGGGCATGTCGAACACTCTTTGATGTGAAAATTGGCTCACACCTAATGGGGTTTGTGTCACTAATTACCAGGTAAGCTTATGCACTATAAGAAAAAAGATCGATTAGAACCCAAATCAAGTTCGGGATTTCAACCCCAGATTAGGTCAAGGGTCTTAACTCAAATTAGGTTTGGGGTTGTAGAACCAATATTTCTTCTAGTTTTTCTTAAATTGATGGAATTTTTTTGTTCGATTTGTTGAGTTTAATGGAGAAAATGGGGAGTTTCATTTGGTATTTGGTGATGATAATTGTGTGTGGGAAAGATGAGTTTGATTTTTCTAAGATGAGTTTGATTAGGTTCTAAGCCAAATTTGGGTTGTAGAAGTTGCATATGGATTCTACGACCTAGATCACCCAAAATTAAAACTTAGATTTGGCTTGTTGTAGAATCTAAAAACTTTTGGTGAGTTTGGTTTGGTATTTAGTGATGATAATTCAACTAATTTTTTATGGAATTTCTGTTGGAGCTCATCAACACACACATATTCTAATCTACAATTTGCACCAGAGAAGATAAAGATGAGTTCTCCAATGGTGAATCCAATCGAAGTCTATTTTGGAAAGAATTTATTTTTAATTAGGAGTTAATTGAATCTTAATTAGTATTAAATATATTAATGAAATAATTTAATTTAAAGAACTAGGTTAATTAACTATGTCAAATTAACGTTTGCTAATGTGGATGCCAAAATAATGTGCACGTCATCAATTTATAGTTGTTTTCTTTTTCATGTCATTATTCAAATTTATTAGGTCAAAAATTGTGGCAACTTGTGCCACATGGAACTTCCATAAACAGAATGACCAACTTGGTAATAGAAAAAAAAAAACTTTAAGGATATTTTTAAAGTTTAGGCATGAAGTTGGTTCAAAATAAAAGTTAAGGGACCAAATTGAGTATTTGACCTTTTTGATTCAATTGTGAAATGTTTTGGCATCCACTGATGTTGGAAGCATTATTGATTGATACTTTAGCAACATGCATTACATTGTTGACCCTTAATACTACCTTATCCCTAAAATTTGCACTAAGAATTTGCATGATGTCTTCTTGCACTTTGATATTAGCTTACTTGCACAATCATTCATCATGGCAACATATGTTCCAATTTATTACATGATTGATAATATCCACTAATATAATTCTCCATTTACCTAATCATAAATTCAAAGTTAATTATAAAATTACCATATTTTGCATGTAATATGACCATTTCAATATTCTAAACTAGCAGTTCACAACAATTTAGTTAATGTTCCTCCAAATCATTCACTCCCAATACACATATATAATCATGTCCAACAAATTAAAATCAACCATCCAAAAACCCAATGTATTTCCATCAACAAGTAAGAATATGAAAATGTTTGAGTATGTAAACTCATGCACAAGCATCATTGGGGACCAAATGGACCTGGGTACTATAATTCAAATCTCGACTGGTAAACATAATCCTCTTCTTGGGGATTTACCAGGGATGTCTCACTTGAGTTTAAGTGTCTCCCTATATGTCCCATAACCATTCCATGTTCTATTAGGATTTGTATAGGCATCATACAAGGAAATGATGGCGCAACAATAGAGGTGCACCTTATATGCATTAAAAGTAGCAAACTACTACAGCAGAGAAGCCTACATCCTTCTTATCTATTCTATCATGTGTTGCATAGCTTCTCTTTCCTTCCTTACATGGCCTATTTCTTCCCTCATCATTTGCATTGCCTCTTTGTCCTTTGATTGTTTCTCTACAAAGTCAAACAATATCAAACTTATACAAATTTCCTTCGATTGCCACTTTCTATAATTGAATCCAAGATACTTGGGGTTCACCTGCGAACCAATGCTAGGCATGAAATTGTTGAGGCATCCCCTAACAACAATAGACCATGCCCCATTGTCCCTTGATGGCCATGAAGCTAAGCCTAACGTGTGTGCAACAAAGCACTTAAATACATATGTATCTTACAAAAGTTGTGGCTAGAAATCCACAAACAATTAATACAAATTCACAAAAGATTTATCCATGTAACAATGCTGAAATATGTAACCATTAATATTTAAATAAAATTCATAACAAATTACCGTTTCTTACTATCAATCACTTTTGCTAGCTACATTAATATTCAATTTTCATGCTATGTTATTTTCGCTTTCAAAGTACCAAATTTTGTTGCTCCATAACTAAAAGTATTTCATAAATACACATATATACTAACACTTACTCATGCAAAATTTGTATTAGATTTTATTTAACTCCACTAGCTATTTAATATACCATTTATTGACTTTCACTAAGAATCCACGTTACTCATATCATATCTTATCTCTATGTTTGCATTTGCATGATGAACTTTGTGTTTCTCCCTATACCAGGGAGCTTCTTGCCCCTGGGGGACACCTTGTTGACGACCACTTAAAGGATTAAGTGTGAAAAATGTAAAAAGAAGAGGTCACCACTCGTCCAAATTATAAGGTGGGACAAATTACCAAAAAACCAAGTCTATACAGAGATCGGGGTTCGAGGGTTCAGTTAGGAGTGAGGAAAGGCTTGTGTGCGCCTCACAATCCTCTGTTTAAACCCGATTGTGTACTTTAAAATTGGGGGTTTTAATTCAACTTATTTATTATCTTTATATTTAAGTCTTAATAAGCAAGCTTGAAAAAGAGATAAACCAAATTGCAACATTTTTAATTTTTTTTGGACTAAAATGGACAAAATCAAAGACATGCATGCATCATAAACACAAATGAAAATTAAAAGGGCTAATTTGATTAAATTCGAAACATGGAGGATTGATTTGATTAAATTCAAAAAAATATGAAGGACTGATTTAAAAAGATTTGAAACCTTGGGATTGAATTGCTTAATCATAAAACTTTTGGGTGAAATTGAGATAGAATAAAAGATAACTTTGACTTTCACCCAAATTAAGGAAAATTAATCTAATTGAATAATTAACTTAACATTAGTTAAAATTAATTAAAATTAATTAATCACATTTAATAATCATTAACCGAGATAACTAAATAAATCTAAGGTTTAAGTACCATTTTGGTCCCTCAACTTTTCACTTTGGCACCAAAATTGTCCCTCACCTTTAAAAAGTATCAAAATTATCCTTAAACTTTCTTTTTTGGTACCAAAATGATCCTTCCGTCAATTAAATGACAGGTGGCAACATTAAAATGCCACAAAATCACATTTTTTAAAAAATAATAATTACGTGGAAAACAAATCATACGAAAAGTGATGAAATGGCAATTTTTTTTTCCATGTGGCATATTTTTTCTATTTAAATAAAAAACTCACATAATATAATATGATATATTATATTGTTCATCTTCTTCCTTCATTCTTCTCTTTCATCCCTTCGGCTCTTTCTCTTTCCCAGCCTTCTTCCTCTTCTTCCATCCCTTCTTCCTCTTTTTCCTTCCTCCTTCGACCTTTTTCTTGTTGTTTCTCTCTCCCCTTTCTTCATCTTCCTCTTTCCCCTTCCAGATCTATGTGGGTTCTCCCTTAAGAATTCAGATCTAGGTTCTCTCTCTAAGAAAGAACCCAATTTTCAGTTCTAAGAAAACCATTCTCCATGAGAGCCATGGATCGATGATGGACTGCTCTGTGTAACCAAACCTAGACTCTTCCCTATCAGAACCCGGTTCTTCTTCGGCAATGACTCTAGCCCCATTAGCCGCGCCACCACTCTTGGATCAACACTAGCACTAGCCGCAACCTAGAGTTGGATCTTACCCTCATCAACAAACTCAGTTGCCTCATCCAACTCAACAAACTTGGTTACCTCCTCTGCCATCCCTAATTCTCGTCCCTTGCCTGTTCGTGAAGATTGCTGGTCTGAAGAGGCCACGTCCACCCTCATCGACGCCTGGGGATGCTTGGGGCTGCCTGGGTTCGGCGTCGATGGATGATGGGTATTTTAGAAGGAATTATTCAACCCTTGCTGCAACTGTAGCAACAGTAGAGAGTGAAGAGGAAGAAGTAGGTGAAAGCGAGGGAGAGGAAAGTGATCAAGGAGAAGAAAAGGAGGGTATAGATCTGGTTTTGTTCTTTTGCTTATTTTGTGTTTTCTATGTGTATTTTCTGAGTTGATTAAATGGTTTTCATGTTGATTATTTTCGAGATTAGATCTGCATTTGGCTTTGGCTTGTATCTGATTTGGCTCGAATTGCTTTTTTTCTAGAAATTCTTTACTCTTTTTAATCTATGTTCCTTTTTGTTAGTTGGCTTAGGAGATCTCAGCTTTGCTGTTTAGTATATTCGAGATTAGTTTCCATGTTATGTGATGAAACCCAAATCTGGGTTTGAGAAAAACCTAGATTTGGGTTTGAAAGAGGAAGAAGAAAGGAGAAGAGAGAGAGAGAGAGAATAAGAAGAAGAAGGAAGAAGGATGAGCAAGGAAAGGAAAGGAAAGGAGGAAGAAGATGATGTTTGTGAGAGAACCCAGATATGGGTTTGTAGAGGTAAGGGAAAAGGAAAGGTAAAAGAGAGAGAAAGTGAAAGAGGAAGAAGAGATGACGTCGATGGAAAAAAAGGATATCAAAAATTTTAAATTAAATAAAAATGCTACCTCATAAAAAAAGATGGCCAACTGTGTTTTTTTTTTTTTTCCATGTCATTAGTTAAGCAAAAAAAGAATTGATTTTGTGGCATTTTAACGTGCCACCTGTCATTTAACTGACGGAAGGACCATTTTGGTACCAAAAATAAAAGTTTAAGGATAATTTTGGTACTTTTTAAAGGTGAGGGACAATTTTGGTGCTAAAGTGAAAAGTTGAGGAACCAAAATGGTACTTAAACCTAAATCTAATTATCTCAAATCAAACTCAAGAAATATGATTAATTTATTTTAATTAAAATTAATTAACTTAATTAATCATAAATTAAACTAACTCATTCAATTAATTAATAATTATATATATTTTAACTTTTTTTTTAGTTTTTTTTTTTAGTTTAGTTTGTTTTTTAATCTATTGGATCGGGTCAGGTTGACTCCATCTAGAAACACAACCTGCTACTCAAAATAAAAAATTAAAAAAAAAAAGAAGATCAAACACAAAAAT